CGACTCGGTGACAGTTAACCACAGCCGAGTGGTTTTTCAGTATGAATCTCTTTGAATACATTCGGAACAGGGTCTTCTCTAGTATTTCATTATGTATACATAATTTATCATAGTCTTGGTCTTGACATTTTACCAGTTCACATGAAGGGTAGTGGACTTACCTTCGAGTTCCTTTATCCTTCCATTTATATTGGTCTTAAGTATTTCCGCTCCTCTGTATTCAGAGAGGAATCCTGGTGGTGCCATGGTTACAAGTTGGGCTGAGTGTTAGTCTGGATAGACTAGAGAAACAAATCTAAGAACTCATATGTGTGTAAGAGAGAGCTTTCTATTAACGAGTAATTGCGTCTTGAGAAAGCATCCCAGTCCAGTCCAGTCCAGACCATCTGTCCAATACTGGTCCATCAATTCCTCTTTAGACTGACGCAGCACATGCAAGGATGCCAAATGCAGCAAGATCACAGGCCACTGGGAGGAAAGTCTTGTAGATCCAGTGGCGGTGGAAGCATCTCAGGGCTGGCTGTTCCAGCTCCAGGGCTCTGGCTGCATCAGTGTGTCTCCATGTGGCTTATGAAGCAAAGAGAGCATGTGTCTGGCCTCCAGTGAGTCATTTTTCTCCACTGCACTTCCAAATAAGGTCATTAAGCTGCAACCTGATTGACAGGCTAAACTCCACCCCTTCACTCAAACTGACAGGAGATGATGTAAGTGCCATAGCAGCTAATCCTAAAGTCAGCGATTCAAAACGGAGCTTTCTACTCAGGTAGAGTTAGAGTCTCAGAAACTCACAGAGGTAGTTCTACCCTGACCTATAAGGTCATTGGGGGTCAGAATTGGCTCATTGGAAGTGAGAGAAAGGAGACTTCAGGAACCACATAAGGCAGCGTCATAATTTTGGCCTTAACTATCAAACATATTTAGAAAATGAGAGAGAAAGAAAGCCTTGTCTTTGCCCATATTTTCACTTTTTCTTTGTTCTTTCAAAGAGCCCTGGTGGCTCAGTGGTTAAGTGATTGGCTGCTAACCAAAATACCAGTGTTTCAAACCCTCCAGCCCTTCGGTGGGAGAAATACGTGGTGGCCTGCTTCCATAAAGATGTACAGTCTTGGAAACCTGGGGGGCGGTTCCACTGTGTCCTGTTGGACTGCCAGTGAGTCAGAATTGTCTCAGGTGTGAAGTTTCAGGTTTGGGTGGTCTGTCTTCCTTCCTGATGTTCCAAGATTTCTTCTTTAACCATTTCTTGTTCTTTTCTCTCTTTTTTGGCTCAACAACTTCCTTCAGCCGTTCTGTTAGGGTAACCTGTTGGCTCTAAATCCTCTGTTTCTCTTCAACTGAAAAGTGTCGTGATTTCTCCTTCATTCCTAAAAGATATCTTCCCTGGTGTATAGAGCTGGGGCTTGATCCCGTCACTGACCCACGGCCCTGCGGGGACAGCACCAGAGACACAGTGTGGGAACTGCACCCGATCTGATCCCGCCACACTGAGGCAAAGCACTGGGGGAGTGCAGCGGAACAGCAAGTTCCCCAGGGAATGCTGAAGGTGGACTTTGGGGCCAGGGCGTGGTGCCCCAACAGACTGGACTGGAAAACACTCTCTAAAGGCCAGCGATCCTTGAACTAACTACAATCTTTTCTTTCTTGTTGTGTTTTAATTTGTTCTTTGTCCAAAAAAAATGGGGGCTTGATCAGAGACATTTTCACTTTGTGTAGAATTGGGGATTGATGAGAGACTTTTCCACTCTAGATAGAATTTGGGGTGGATGGAAAGATATTTTCACCCTAGATAGAATTTGGGATTGATTCGTTCTTTTCTGTCAGCACTCAGAAAAATGTGATGCTGCTTCCTCCTTCGGGCCCCTTGGGTTTCCGGTGAGACACCCATGACCGTGATCATTGGTTTTTCCTCTATCGGGCGTGGGTGCTTACCCCTTGGCTGCTTTTACGATTTTGTTTGTCTTTAGCGTTTAGCAAGCAGTTTGACGATGCTGTATCTTGGTATGAATTTCTTTGGATTTAATTCCATGTGGGGTTCACTCAGGTTCTGGAATCTGTAGTTTGTGTCTTTTGACAAAATTGCCTCATTTCGCGCCATGATATCTTCTCAGAGTTTTCAGGCTCTCCCGCTTTCCCCTCTCCTCCTGGGACGCTGATGACCTGAAGGTTGGCTCTTTGCTGTGGTCCCACCGGCTCCAGAGCCACGCCACCCCCTCTGTGCCCCCCCCATCTGTGTTCTCTGGAAGTCACTACCTCTTTCCTCTGTTTCCTGCCATTGAGCCCACCAAGTGCTTTCATTTCCATTATTATATTTTTCAGTTATAAATTTCCCACTTGGATTGTCTTTTTCTTTTATTAATCTTCTATTTCTTTTTTTTTTTAATCAATTTATTGGGGCTCATACAATTCATCACAATACATAGATCAATTGTATAAAACACATCTATACATTTGTTGCCCTCATTATTCCCAAAATTCGCTTGCCTCTTGGGTTCCCGGAATCAGCTCATTTTCCTTTTTTTCCCCCTCCCCTATTAATCTTCTATTTCTTTGCTGTGCCTTTCTTTTCTCTCCCCCCCCTCCCATTTGCTGCCAGCTCCCCGCTCGTTGAAGCATTTCTGTGAGGGCTATATTTAAACTCGTGGCTGCTCATTCCAAAGTCTGGGCTCATCTCAGTGCTGGCATCCGCTGGTTTTCTTAGCATACTGATGAGGGATTTCCTTTCTTTCTTTCTTTTTTTTTTCTTTTTGCTTTGTGGTGGGCATTTGGGGCTATATGTTATACAATCTTCTACTTTAGAAACCTTCTCTGACCCTGTGCCGCTGGGAGAAGGCAGGTTGCCAGCCCGATTCCTGTGGATGTGGAAGTCCAGATTTCCCCGCCAACCTTCACTGATGCCCTGACAGAGGGAGGGCCACCTCAGGACTGCTTTGCTGGAGTGGGAGTCTGGGTCCCCACAAGGGCTCCGTTTTGTTCGTTGGTTTTTCATCTCCCAAAGTTCTGTTTGGTCCTTTTTCGATCGTCCATATTTCTCCTTCATATGTTCATGTTTCCCCCATGTTCTAGATCAGGGGAGGCGGCACACTTTTGAGATGGAAGCGCCAATCCTATCCCTCACCACCGTTTAAAAATTATTCAAGAGCCAGGAATACATTTTTAACACACAAATGGAATCACCATGAGCTCAGTAATAGCCTTTAACTGAAACTGTGATCGTTTTATTTTCATTTTCAATTTTACTGCAGGGTCACATGGCTGTCCTGAAAGAGCGGCCGCCGCACACAGCTCCCCAGCCAGTTGGTGGCGCCTGTTCTAGATCATATGCCACCCAGTTACAGCAGCCACCTCACTGCCCTTGTGTGAGAACACCATCATGTGTGTCCCTTCTGGGTTCTTGTTTTGTTGTTTTCTCCTTATGGGTTGTATTTTCCTGTTTCTTTACACGCCTGGTAGTGCCTTACTAGGTGCCAGACATTGTGAATTTTACCTTGTCAATGTCAAAATGCCGAATGGCTTTGGTATGCCTTTAAATATGCATAAGCTTTGTCCTGAGAAGCAGTTAACTTTCTGGAAACGCACTCAGTCCTTTTGAAGGTTCACCTTTTAGCATTGGTTCTATGGGACTGGAGTCTAGCCCTGATTCCCCCCCAGCTACCATCCTCGTTGAAAGACCCTTCTGAGTATTCCACCTGATGCCCCATGTAATATAAGGTGTTGCCCCCCTGGCCTACGTGAACATGAAGTGTTCCTGGCCCTGTAGAAATTGCAGAGATTGTTTCACCAATTTCTGGTGGAGCTATTCTTTTTTTATATATATATAAACTAATTTAAAAAACAAATCTTTCTTAAATTCTCAGTCTGACAGACTTTTTTCAGGTTGAATTGTATCATTTAACCCTGAGATAACTATTTCTATAAAAATGGGTTTATTTGGCAGCTACATCAGAAAGGAGCCCTGGTGACATAGGGAGTTACATATTGAGCTGCTAGCTGTAAGGTCAGCAGTTCGAACCCAGGAGCTGCTCTGAGAGAGAATGATGAGGCTTTCTTCCCCTGTAAAGATGTGCAGCCGTGGAAACCCACAGGGGCTGTTCTACTCTGTCCACAGAGTCGCTAAGAGTTAGAAGTGATTCAATGAATTGCGGAGTTTGTTTTCTAAAGCATCAGGGCATGGTGGAGAATATGTGAGCTGCTCTGGCAGAAGGAAATAGATAGGTCATTAATCTACAGCCTTGGATTGGAGTCTCAACTCTACCTGATAGACTTTTGATCTTGGGAACGCTGCCCTTTTGGTTTCCACGCCTATTAAATTGGGATATAATTGGATCAACTAACACTCGTCACGTGCCTCCCCAGACCAGGCACTGTTCTCAGTGTTTAATGGGCATTGTCCCATTTTACAAATACGGAAGCCATTACAAAGAGGCTTTAAAGCACAGCTAACCTAGAAAGCACTGGGTAGGCAAAGTTGGTGGAAGGTGCCAGTGGCCGACGGAGCGGCGTGTGCCAGTGCTCACTGCCATTGCCTCGCTTCCAACTCGTGGCAACCCCACTGGGCAGAGTCGACCTGCTCCTGGGGGGTTCCGAGCCTTTACATCTGTGAGAAGTAGACAGCCTGGGCTCTCTCCCGAGGAGCAGCTGGTGGGTTCCAACCGCTGACCTTGTGGTTACCAGGTCACTGTATAATCCACTACACCACCTGGGCAGAGAATAATGAGAGGCCACCCAAGAAACCTAGTTATCAGGAGACTGTGACCTCAGAGAGGAGAAGAAACGGGAAAAATGGGCCCCGAGCCCAGATCAGGAAGGACGTCAGATTTTACAGTTTGTAGGCCAAAGGGTGAGAGGTCAGATCGATGTCAAGGCAAATGGTCATAGGGCGACGATTCAGAAATGCTCTGGCAACAGCGTGGAGGATGAATTAGGGGGTGAGGGGCAAGTTAGAGGCGACTCTGAGGCCATTTTCCAAGGCTTAATTCTCCCTTTTCAACTTCCTTCGGCTTTAGGTTGTGGATCGGTCTTGAACATAAACGGGGACATTGAGATGGACGCTAGTATCATGGACGGGAGAGATCTGTCCACGGGAGCAGTGTCCGCAGTCCGCTGCATAGCCAACCCCATTAAACTCGCACGCCTGGTTATGGAAAAGGTAGGTCCTGACTCAAGAATCCTTTTCCTAAGGAATTGCTTCTGTTATTATCCAGAGACTCAAAAGAGGACTGAGGGGAGGTACTTAAAAGCCACTGTGCTCCTAAGAATGCACAGAAGAGTAGAACATGTGAAGCTTCTCAGACATACTAAAAAGTCGAATCTATTCACACTGACACTTGACTGCTCATTCCTTGGTCTTCCCATGTTTTCTTTAGCCTTCTTTCAGCACATCGCATCGATCCAGGACAAAGGACTTGAACAGACTGACCGGCTCATGTTGTTGTTAGGTGCCCTGGAGTGGATTTTGACTCCTGGTGGCCCTGCGGACAACAGTACTTAACCCTCTGTGCTCCTGCACCATCCTCATCCTCACTGCTGTGTTACCATGGTTGCAGCCACCGTGTCAGTCCATCTCATCGAGGTCCTTCCTCTTTGTCACTGACCCTCTGCTTGACCCAGCATGGGGTGTCCTTCTCCAGGGACAGGAGCGTCTTCTGTGGACGTGTCCAAAGTCCGCGTGGCACAGCCTTACCACCCTCTCTTCTAAGAAGCGTTCCGGCTCTGCTTCCAAGAGAGACTTGTTCATTTCTCTGGCCTCTCACGGCGTAGTCAATCTTCTTCACCAACACCAGAACTCAAAGACGTCAATTCCTCAGTCTTTCGTAGCCATGTGTCAGCTTTGACATGTCTATGAGGCAACCGAAAAGACCATGACTTGGGCCAGGCGCACCTAAGTCCCTCAAAGGGGCTGCTTTAATAGCATGCCTTAAAGAAAAGTGGGTTGAGTCTTCCAAACTGAAGAGCACACGTCAGTCACATCCCTCCTAATATCCCATCTTTTTTCTGATTCTAAAATACGGGAACTCAGAGAGTCCAGACTCTTGGGGTTCTTTTTGCGGCATTCAGAAAAGTAAGCCAATGGGATCGTCCACTTCAAATCCTTGCTCATAATTAGAACAATTCGAACGAGGGAGGGAAGGTTTGGCCCGGTTTGATGTGGTGGTTCCACGTGGTAACCGTTGTGGTGCTTCTTTCTGGCTCAGACACCTCACTGCTTTCTGACTGACCGAGGGGCGGAGAAATTTGCAGCATCCATGGGGGTCCCACAGATTCCTGGAGAGCAGCTGGTCACCGAGAGAAGCCGGAAGCACCTGGAAAAGGAGAAGCGTGAGAAAGGGGCTCAGAAAGCGGACTGTAAAAAGTAAGTATCGGCTCACGCTCACGCTTCTTGTGTGTGTGGGGGTGGGGGGGTGGGGGGTGTCTCCCAAACATAAAAGGAAAATACCTGTGTACACATATCAAAGTCAAAGGTCGTTTGCACCAAATAGATCCATCTAAAACGTGGGGGGAAAACTCGATTGATTCTTCAGTTTAGCTCATCAATTACTCCTGTGACTAATGATTCAAATTCAACAAACCAGAGTTCCTTTTCAAATCTGATCCAGTGTTCAATGGACAGGCCATCTGGATGCTTCCTAGTCAGTGTTAGGTAGGCGACCCGACAGTCCTCTATGGTCTTAACTGCCTTGTGAGCTGCTTGTCCAAATCCTCTTTCATAGTACAGAGAACTCAAATAGCTTTTTTAACGCCTAGCATCCATCTGTTCTGAAATTAGGTTTTCTGTGTTGAAAATAGCCTGTTGTTATAGTGCAGTTCAGTCAGTTAACTTTTTGTCTTAGATATCTAGGGCTGTTAGAACGAATATCAGAACGAGTAGGCGTTTAACTCGTAGGTGTTTGCGCTCACACTTTTGAAAGCCCGAAGTCTAAATTCAAGACACTAGCTCTTGGGGGAAGGCTTACTTCCTCCGTCAGCCCTAAGGGAAGGTCCTTGTCTTTTTTCAACAGCTGTGGGCCTGGTGTTCCTTGGACATGCTAGTGTATCTTAACATCCATCTTGCCCGGGGTCTAGCAGGTTCTCAGCGTAGGGTCTCAGCCAAGACCAAAGGACGGTTCTACTCCCGGCTCTTCTTGGTTGTACTAAGGTCCCTCCTCCTCTGTGCATTGCTGTCACCTTTTATCTCTTGAGTGACAGAAGGCGGTCCAGGACATACCCAGGAAAGCATCAGATCGGGGCTATGATCTGAGGTGGGGCGTTGAATCCCATCTTAATTGTCGTACAACTGAATGGCAGGTCACATGCGATTACATCATGGGGGAAGGGGGGCAGTGAGAGGGGCGAAAACTGCCAAATTATATCATTGCACAACTGCCAGACCGCTGAGAATTATGCCCCAGCCACGTTGGCACATATTCTTAGGGGACACAATTCAGCCCATGACACTCTGCTTACTTTTTATTGTAGAACTATTCAGCCACCTGGGGACACTTTTAAAAATCCTCCTGCTTGGGCCCCATCCCTTAAAAATGTAATGTAAAAAAGGTGGGGTTTTTTGTTTTTAGTTGAATGTAATGGCTCTGAGATGGTGCCGTGTAGAGAACGAAGCATGGCCCTAGCAGCCATAGTCTGTGTTCTCTCCCAGCAAATGACGGGGTGGGACTGTGTGACCGAGGGGCTTGTGGCCCACCAAGGGGCTTAGCTAGCTTGCTAATAAAACGACAGCCTGGTGGGGTGGGGTCATATAAATAAGGTATCTAGAACTCTGAGGAGGGGATTGGTCAGTGTGGTGAGCACCTTCAAGCCGAGACGTATGGCAGAGCTGAATGCCTTTGAGCACTTCTTGGAGCCAAAGAACTTTGTGACATTCACCTGAGCCAGGGAGAAATGGAGCTGAACCGAGAGATCCACAGGGCAAAGGACCAGAGAGAGGCCTGCTTGTGGGCACCGTTGAGAGGATGCTGTCCTGATGGAAGAACGGTATCCAGAGTCATTCCTGATCCTGAATGCAAGCTGCTGCTTCCATAACAAAGCCCACAATCACTAGTGTTGTCTGTGGATTCTGCGTGGCCATCACCACCAGGTGTGCTGAGCCCAGCAGAGAAGTGACAGAGTGCCTCGGGAGGCCCAGCTGGTGTCTGCATGGGTCAAAAGTTGGAAACAAGAGGTGTGTCTGACTTCCCCGCTTCATAGCAACCAGCCTTGAGGGGAAGCTAAGTGGGGTTTGTCTCTCTCTGAGACGGTCAGGCACCTCCACCACCCGCTTTCTCACAAGTGACCTGGCCAGGCAGGTCCATTATGCAAAAGCCTCACAGGTAAGTCTGATGTATATACAGCCCAGTGTGAGAATCTGCCATACGAGGTTGGCCACTTTGTGATTCCCTCAGGGGGAATTGTATTGCTAGCCCGCAGTTGAGGCCAGGGGGCTGCTCTCGCAACAGGTGGCATGAGCACATGTCAGGGTGCTTCCCCTAAGTTCTGCAGTAGCGCATCCCCACCACCCAGCCCCGCTCTTAGACATCAGCATCAGGGACACCTTTAGAAGGACCCCGTATCGCAAACAGAACAAGGGCCATGTGGCAGAGCATGTGAGCACCACCCCCTTCAGCCCCCCCGCGCTCAGCAGCATCATCCAAGAAGCCCTTCTGTGCAGCTCTTGCTCAATAACCCTCTGGAAGCCACCTGACTGCAGTGCCTTGTGGGTCTGTACCACCGCTGACGTCAGAATGGACGCTGCCCTGGACCGTGTGGAAGATTGGAGCAGCAGGAGGACTTTAGTTAAAGAAAGAGATGGATCCTTGAGTTTGTGAGATAGGTTCATGTTTCCTCTGAGTGGTGCCCACTGTCCGTTTTCTGGCGCCTTTATACATGAGGGAGAAAGGCTAGGCTTTCTGCTCCCGTGAAGAGTTACAATTTTGGAAACCCACTGGGGCAGTTCAACTCTGTCCTGAAGGGTCGTGATGAGTCAGAATCGGCTCAGTGGCAGTGAGGTCGATTTGGGTTTGCACACTGAAATCGTGGTTCTGGAAGGATTTGTGAATTGGTGCCACATTTATAAAGTTGGAAGGACAGGCTGAGGAACCTGCAGCCATGAATTAAATGATCCCCTTTATTCTTAAAGGAGCCCTGGGGGTACAGTGGTTTAAGCTTTGGGCTGCTAACCATGAGGTTGGCTGTTCAAGGCCAACAGTAGCAGAACCCCGAAGGAGCAGTTCAGCTCTGCCCTACAGAGTCACGATGACTCAGGGTCAACTCGGTGGCAGTGGGTTTTGGAGTTTTGCTTGTAAATTTGCAAATACACCAAACAAGACCAGCAATGTTCAGTAGGAACGTAATGAGGGCCACCTATGCACTTTAGATTCTGCTAGTCGCCACATTTAAAAAACGTAAAAAAACAAAACTGCTGACTTGAATAATGTATTTGACCTAGCCCAATAATGGTTTAGACACACCACATCTCAGTGTCATAAAATAAGAAAGCACTTGTGAGA